TGCCTTGCATCCCTACAGGGAACAAGGCACGCTATTAGATTACCGCAGAATATTCAGGAAGGTAGAGAAAGATGAATACAATGCAAACCTCGTGGCAGCTGCCTTGGCAAATTACACCAGACCTAGAAGAAAGCGCTTTAGTTGCAGAAAGACAGGTCATCTTCAAAGAGAGTGTAAGGCACACAGGAAAATCAGCCTGGCTGCAAAGAGCGAGCCAGAGCATGGGCCAGGCCCACTGAATATGGGTTTAAAAGAACCCGGACTTCGCCCCCACTGCAGGAAAGGAACTGATTGGCTGAGTCAATGTCACTCAAGATTCAGCAATAAAGGATTTCCATTAGCAACCACTTCCCAGCAGGAAACTAGAGAAAGGAGCTTGATACAGACCCCACCCAGCAGAGCGTGGAAGGCAAGGTATCTGCCTGCCAGAGCAAAGAAAATCTTGGAGAGAAACTGCAGGTATCACCCAGCCTCACATCAGGAGACCAGACCGAAACAAACTGGCAAAAGCCCAGCCTCTGTTCTCGCTGCAGTTAAGTTTAATTAACCAAGGCTCAGAAGCCCTCACAACAGTTTGATGATCCTAAAAAGCAGGAACCTCTTATTGAAAGAATAATACAGTTTCTATCAGGAAGATTTAACCTAAATATTCAAGGAATTCAAATGGATACTGGAGTTATTCAGAGGTGTGAAGAAAAGCCAGAAATTGTAATAAAATCAGAAATTATTAAGAGTGGTAATTGGGGGCTGCTACCTAAAAGAAGTATGGGGCGTTGACTAGGAAAGTCTAATCTAAATTCTCAAGGTGTTCACATTGTTGCTGGAATGATGAATCAGGATAGAGGAAGATTGCTTAAGGCAATTTTTGCTTCCTTGCATTCCCAGAGTAAAAATTTATACCTATCAGGAAATAGTTCTTAAGAAGTCTGACCACCCTATATTTAATCAAGGGGTCTTTTGGAATGCTGTGGTGGGGAAACAACAGTGCCCCCACATGGAATTAGAAATTGGAGGGAAAAGGTTTTTAAACTCTGGATATGGGGTCATTTCCTTAGGGCATTCACAAGGGGCCTAAGGTACTTCCATTAACTTCCTCTGAATCCAGCTTGGAAGGAATGAGAGAACTTAACCAGATCAGAACATTCCAAGAAGGTAAAATCCTACAGTGTTAAGAGCCTAAAGAGTAATATGGCTTCATTGAGCCTGCAACCTTATTGGTCAACTTGGAGAAGAAATGTGTTTGGTGAGTTACTTCAAGAACAGCTAAACAAATTTATTAAGGATCTTTTCAGTCTTTCAAATCATCCTGAGTGTGGTAAGAAGTTCTCATAATTAATTAGCGTTCTCAATTCTCTGAAAGCAGGGAGCCAAAATTTTCATAACAATGAGCTCCATTTAAGTTATACTGGTCCCAAACCAAGCAAGTTAACTGAGATTGCTAGCAGTGCTCTAATATCTGCATTGTTAAAACAGAAGGGGAGAAGAGGAATCTTAGATGTGACAAAGTTCATTTAGCCATTTTAACTGTGTCTGACTATTTCAATCTCTCGTCTATCTCTCATCCTCTCTATGGCTTTATTATAATCTTTATTATAATCTTTATCTATCTCAACCGCACAATTGAGCCTATCGAACCTGCGATCAGTCGTGGGGGGCTGGCCTTTCCCCCGCACACGCAGGAGAGAGAAAGTGAAATACGTAAGGTTGTGCTGAAAACATACCTTCAAGATGGCTGATATAAATGTAACTTTCTAAATTAATGCCAATTGAAACATTATTAGCTGTCTTGTTTGCCTCAACACAGTGATCCTGCATGAGGCCTTTACACAGGGCCCAAGACCGGTCCTTCCTTCCCAAGAAATGTGTTGCAGTAGAAGTGACACGCTGCACACCAAATAATGCAGACCTGCGAACACGTCCCTCAGACGAAGCCACTGTCTCCCATCTCAGGCCCTCTGACTATGCACAGAGGAGCCCTGGTGGTAGATCAGTTACTCGTTAGGCTGTGACGCCCCCAGGCAGCAATTTGAACACCAGCAGCTCTGTGGGAGAAAGACTGGGCTCTCTAACTTTATCAACAGTTACAG